AAAGAATCCTCGGTAAGCTTTATAGTAGATCATTCTGTGAGGAAAATCATTAAGAATCAAATAAAACAATAATTTCGACGATAACTCCTATAATTTATTTTTTAAGATCCTTTTCTATGGCTAAATGACTATTTACGAAAACGCGGTCATTCTATTCTAGCAATGGCCTTTTAAACGTGAGCGACAAATACAATAAAAAATATATAAAAATATATTAAAGAGGTAATACAGATATAATAAAAAAGAAACATTAACAATGGTATACAGAGCAAATTAGTGCATCATAATTTACTCGCAATCAACGAGCCACTGTCACAGTTCGAACAATGCGATTCAGAACACCGTGGGTCGGACCAATGGACGACCTATACCACTGCGATCATCCCGTCGCCACTCGTAGCTTCTTTTATGAACGTCAGACCGCCATATATTCTGAATGGCACGAAAAGCGAGTCACGGTACCGGCAAACACGCGGGAAACGAATAGATTACCGTGCGGCATTAACTTCAAGTGTAGCTGTTTGTTTGCGATATTTCAAAAACGCGACGATCGGAATCCGGTCGCCGCGTTTCGCATTCCAGGTCGCGCACTGTCGGAAAGGATACACGTGACAGGAACTCCTCGAGTTTTGCATAAACAGCGAGACACACCGGCGTTTCCGGTCATCGATCAAACCGCGGATGCGTGTGTCGCCCTGCAAGGTCAACAAATCACCAGCCACTTGGCGGTGTTTGCCAGCCGAATTTTCGTCGCTAGGGAAGCGACGACAAATATGGCTACGTGTGCACGGAAAACTTGCTTATCCGTCTATGGCTGTCTGAATCCACATCGACGAATCGTCGTGTCTCGTTAAAACGACGGGATTGTTCGAACAATTTTGTGTCTCATAGTAAAACCCGTATTCAATTAAGATTAGGTGTACTCCGATTACTCGAAATAAACGATAAATATGGCTACCTGCGTGCTGATAATTTCCTTATCCGTCTATGGCAGTTCGAATCCACTTCGACGAATCATCGTGTCTCATTAAAACGACGGGATTGTTCAAACAATTTTGTTTCTAATAGTAAAACCCATATTCAATTAAAATTAGGTGTACTCCGATTTCTCGAAATAAACGATAAATATGGCTACCTGCGTGCTGATAATTTCCTTGCGCGACTATGGCCGTCCGAATCCACTTCGACGAATCGTCGCGTCTTGTTAAAACGACGAGGTTGTTCGAACAATTTTGTGTACGATCGATAGCGCGTATCTACTCGGAATAGATCGATCGAAATAATATTGTTTCAGTAATCACAGTCAACGGGAGGAAAGCTAAACGGATCCATTGAATAGTAAGCCGACGATTTATCTGATAACAGAGTCTATAGGATCGAGAACGCGATAGCAAGTTCGCTGCACGAAAGCTAAGTGAAAACTAGCAAGCTTTGAATAGGGAAAAATTGTTGGAAACGAGTCTAGAACGAAATAAAACGAAGAGCCGGTCGTCGATATTCGAGCCAGTGAAATATCGATGGTTCAGCGCACGGCCGATGCGGAGCTCGCTAAAATGCTTGCGGATAAAAAAGCCGACTCTATCGAAGCATTTGTTTAAGGTACATGGATCCGCCGCAGGAAAATGCCATGCAAATAGTGACCTAATCATGATGAGGTTAATAATAACTCTGGTGAACACGTCGCAGAGATTTTTCCAAATATCATCGATCTTCATTTAATAAATGTTTTAAATTTTCTCTCGTTAGCGTGACACCTAGAGGACAGGAGAGAGAAAGAGAAACGAAAGGAGGCAGATATAGTGGGAATAGATAGAAGGAAGAGAGAGGGAGAGAGAGAGAGAGAGAGAGGGAGGAATTCGTATTAATTCGAAACGAGATTACGAGCTCTCGACGGAAAGCCGAAGCCGGTCTGGGCCGAATTAACCGAACCTAATTGGAATCGACCGAACCGCCGATAAGATTCCGTGATTAACCCTCATTTAATTTTCAAATTAACTCGAGACGACCGGTGACGAGTATTAATTTCGACGGCCGATATTCCGGCGTCCGGGGTTGTTTGATCGTGGTCGTTGCCCGATCAAACAGTGGATCGCTGTAAAAAAGCTGACCCAGCTGCGGGAAAATCAATGGGACGGATGGACCGATCGGACAGAAAATGTTGGAAAAATTGATGACGCACCCCATGCCGGGCGTTTGTTCTCCGGCTTTGATGCCGGCCGCTGAGAGAGCGAGAGAGGAATTTAGAAATAACAGCTCGACATTCGACAACGGGAAACGAGCGATAGCAAGCTGAACATGGCGCCGACCCGTCCCTTAATCTAACGGGTATCCGGGAGCAAAACGAATCAACCAGACGGGATTATTGCTTGTACGCGGCGATCCGTGCCGGCCGCGGGTCGAATGATTATGGTCATCGCTTAGCATAAATTCCCCGGCTTTCTATAATACTCTCTTTCGTTCCAAGCATCTCCGAGCGCCGAACCCCGCCCGCTGACCCGGCACTGTTCGTGCTACTTTCGACTCTTTAACAGCTGCAGATCGATTTTCAAAAGTTTTACCGTCGTGCTCTCGCCGCGAGATTTTATCGGCGGAACTGCTGACTGCGGGGAACCCGTTGATTAGAGCCTTCGAACAGATTTTGCAACTTCTACGCGGCGGCAGCGCCAGAAATCGGCGCCATGAAATTGAGAAAGGTGCCGCGGACCAGTATCCGCGAACGCGAATTAAACTGTCGACCTTCCGGCTCGCTTGCTCGTTTGCATCTTTGATAATCGAGGCTACCAAGCGATCGGAATAACCGCGGATGCGGTTCCAATTTACGTTATTGCGAGCGTTCTTGTGCTTGGCTGACCGCAATTATAAAATTAACCATTCTTTCTCCTTTAATGTAACGACCCAACCGGCCGAACTAAATGCCGACAACAATGACCGGACACGGAAAGCCGTGGCTACTGTACACCACGTTTTATAATCACGAGGTAAGTCCAGCTTGTAACATTTGGCATATACCTTGCTCGAGTAGATACAGACGTCCATGGTCAGACGCAGAATGCTATTTCATTTTAACAAGCCCGCGTGGATTTTAAGTGAACGCAACCACGGCAACCCAAAATTTGGCACTTCCGACGGAAATTACTGTACTGTTTTTAAGAAGATACGGACAACTTCGATTAGAGAGAGAGAGAGAGAGAGAGAGAGAGACCCGAAGAGTCACAACTATTATATACAGTAATGTCTCCCTAATTGACGCTCAGATTGTCCACAAAGATGGACAATTTGGGAAGAGGAGCCTTGCGACTCGTTTTTATAGTTACATAAGGCCGGAATAATCGTATCTCCTGTTCCGAAATTGTCCATTTTTCTGCACAATTTAGACGACAATTAGGGAGACATTACTGTACCTCGTTTTACAAGCCAACGACAGATTCAACTAGAAACATTCAGTATTTTCGCTAACATCAAATACAACTGATCTGCCGCAGTAGATAGAGACAGCCATGATCGGACAATTTCAATCGATCGGAGATCAGCGAAAATCACGGAAGATTGGAAATTCTGATATTGTAATTCTCCACATGTTTCAGTCATCGTCCCTCGATTTGCCGGTACAAATGCAGCTAGCTTCTCGAACGATGAACTAGAAATAAAGACAACAGATTCGCTTGCGGAGGGCGAGAGCTTAGGGCTGACGAGATAGGGATCGCTTAGATATTAGCCACGAAGGAAACACGTCGATGTCTGTGTCCGAGCGTCTCGTTTTGATCGATTGTCACGGGCACGCTAGCCGGTGCCCGAGCACGCCTCGGCGTCCACGTTTTCGTGCCGGCCAGTCTAATCGGTCGCAGTGTATTTATTGGTCGGTCGTTATTGCGGAAAGGACGATTTGTCATTGGAGGCTGGTATTAATTGCACAGGAGGCCGGCCTTTGTGGTAGATAACGCGGACCAAAGGGCCGCCACGTCGTCGTCAGACGCGAGACAACCTGTTTGAATAGAAATTGGTCTACGGAATGGGAACCGGGGCTCGAGCAACTTCCGAAAATTAATTGCCGTGACTTCCGGGACGCGTGCTCGTGGATACCTTCGACCCTTCCATCGATTACAACGACACTTGCTACACGGTCTGTAACGAAATCATTGGAACACTTTTTAAAAGGGAAGTACTTTTTTAGAACTGGACTGAACGGCTTGGAACTTTTTTTAGAGGATACCAGTCTGCTAGACCATAATTAGAATGCTTTATTTTTAATTTTGATATTGCTTAGAACGACAGAAGAAAATAAAAAGCTCTCAATTTCTAACTTTTTTATCTGAACCTGTGACAAAAACATTGGAACACTTTTTAAAAGGGAACTTTTTTAGAACTGGACTAAACGGTTTGAAACTTTTTTTAGATGATACCAGTCTGCTAGACCATAATTAGAATGCTTTAAATTTAACTTTGATATTGCTTAGAACAATAGAAGAAAATTAAAAAACTCTCATTTTCTAACTCTTTTATCTGAGCCTATAAGCCCAAATAAAATTTAAAAAATGTGTTCTGTTGATCTCGGTAAGCAATATACAAAGCTCGCGGAAAGTTCGCGTCGCCCCGAACTGGTCTCGTTCCCTTTTTATTCCGAGAAAGCTGGAATCTGTTTGGGAACGATGTAACGAGCGCGATCTTGTGCGAACGACTGGCCCCGAGAACTTTCCGAGACCCGGAGAATTTCGTTGACGCGGTGAAGAAAGGAAGTTCCGGTCGCTTCTTTTTTAAAAACTCCGGGGTGTCTTTATCATTGTTGGTTAACGAAACGTCGGCCGGGGGACGGTTACGGGGCCCGGAATTTTTACGCGGCGCTCCTTTACGGCGTAACTTTTCATATCGGCTATAAAAGCCGGCGTTGCTGCGGAAAATATGGCCGGCCGGGCCAAATTTTCCCCCCCGGCACGCCACCCGCGTCTCGCTGGTTCTACCGCGGGCTGTTGCGAATTGATTCGCCGGATAAAACGCGGGCTTACCACTTTGTCTCCAAGATTCCGCACCCGGCATGGCAGGTAGACCGTCTGGCCGACAAATGCGCTGACATTCGCCGCAGTTGGCTCGAACATCGGCAGATCTCCGTCGATCGAGTCGTTCCCGGCATCGTTCGGCCGACGCTGCGAGCCCTCCTTCGATATCTCACGGACCTGCACCGGGGCTGCAAGAAGAAGAAGAAGAACATTTTCGCGGAATTATGTCTCGCCGGAAGGTATCGGCGTGGTTCATTAGAACCACTAAGTTGCGAAGTAGGCGAATCGATACGAAAACGACGACAACGAGGGCGACGCGACGTCGGTTGCCCCGTGACACCGCGGAACCTGCTCCGAAACGTCCAACCGAATGCGCGAAAATAAATGTTGTAGTTCCCAGTAATATTGCTAATAATCGCGCAACGTTATTGCGGAGGAATTACACGGCGGAAAATTTCCACTGCAATAATTATGCGGGAACAATAAAATGCGCAAGCCGGCTGCGAAACGCGCCGGAATTTTTCATAAGCCACGCCCAGCTGCGGGATTAAATTTATACGGACAGTCGGATCCGGATAATTGTGCAAAATTTCCTCCCCAAAAAAAGAAAAAATAATAAAAAACCGGAAAGAAAAAATGGAAAAAGCCGACGGCTGACGGCAATATTATTCCCGAATTGGGGGCAACTTTTCAAAAGCCTCGACGAACAATTGGGCGTGTCCCGCGGAAATCAGCGCCGCGATAATTGCACGAGATTCTGGGAATTGTGGCGATTTTCTAGAAACTGCGGCTCATTAAATTCATATAGAAAACTCGGGCGCGGAATGTTTGGTGGTGGGCGCCGCGCCGCTGTGCATCTTGCTCGCCCGGCGAAAAATCCGACGGCATTTCGCGCGTTCCACGAACGGAACCGAATGGACAACGTTTTCGTCTGCGAACGTCAAACAGATCGCTTCGTAATTGGTCGCTACGAGGTCTTGCGATACAGCGTCTCCGATCAGGCTGCTCTGTTTGTGCACGGCGCCACTTAAAAACGCGTGCTCGAAGTGTACGGAAATTGACGATTCCACGAATTCCAAGAAACTCTCTTTGCCAATGCTTTCCGTAGATTGGAAGTAGAACGAGACCGCATCAATTTTATCAGCTACAAGCACTTTAGTCGACCGTAATCGAGGAAACGATCACGCAGTTTGATTTCTCATCTTCCTGTAAACCGTGAGTGCACTTCGAATTTCCGAAAGATCGCGCTTCTACCGGGAATGTTTATTCAATGTTCAAAGATGTAAATGGAATAAACTATCGTGTCTCGTGATTGTGGATGACGAATATATGGAGACAGAACAATTATTATTAATACTAAACCTATCACGGTCAAAATGACCGATTTTTTATTTTACGATACTACAAACTTTGGAGACTTCTTCTCGTGGAAAATGATTGAATAAATTACATTATTGAAACAAGTCTCATAATTAAAACTTTACAAAATCCAAGTGAATTCTATCTTTTCACTCTTATGAGTCAATGCACGCTAATCATCATTACAGTTCGATTGGTTTATTGTTAATAGAGAGAACTTAATTTATAATTGTTAAATTATTAATTGTGTTACGACAAACGTATTCGTTTTACGGTTTCAATTAAAATCTGTATTGCAAAGTAAATAATACACATTTCAGAGTCATTAGTATTAGCCCAGCCAAAGCATATACTCTCTTGAAATTTTATGAATTTATTCAATTTAATTCATAATTTTCACCAGCAATCTCAAATTTCCTTCCTTAGATTCAATTACGTTTATAATTACTTTATAAACACGCTGCGCACACTTACGTAAACCAAATTAATATTTTCGTCAATAATCATAACGATGCTCCATTGTTAGCCACAGGGAGTCACCTGTAAATACGCGCCGTTTATAATGATGGTTATATCGATGGATAAAGTAGACGTGAAATGGAGGTTAGCCACTTGACGCATAAATATTTTCACATGCACGTATAATCGTGAATCAATTGTTAATTAATTTCACAATCGGTTACGAGCATGTTTCCTTTACCAACGATAATATAATTCTGTTTATGTTATAGTATAATATTATCCTAACAACACGATAATATTCTGGTAAATAAAATATTATCCTATTCAATATAATACTATTCTATTAATTTCCTTTCGACAATGGAATAAGAAGAAGTTTCTCTCCCTGGTGAAAACAACGTTTTACTCGCTTGCCAAAAGAAAATCAATCGAAATTAATGCATACAAAATAAAACATAATTTTGAATTTGATAAAGTTTATCCGGTTTGAAAATCCTTCGTTGATTTATCCATGCCAATTGACGAAGTTAACGAGTTAACAAATTAATCCACAAAGCTAAACGGCTATAAAGCATCGAATCGTGGACAAAAACACTTGGAATCTGCATTTTAGGGGCGACATCGCCCGCAAAACTCGGCATTGCCGCGGCGGCGAACGATCGCGCAGTAGTTTCGCGGGAATGATGAATTTCGCGCGAAGATCCAGGCCAAGATAATGGCGGAGGAATCCGGAGACGCGCGGTCCCAACGGAGCCAGTAATTTTTCAAGAGCACGCAGGCGGCACACGTAAAGGCAAAGGGGCTGTTGCCGGAAGGGTAGCTCGTAATTTCTCAGTTTCTAACTCAATTGCGCGGAAGCACGTCGTCAAGAACCACACGCGTTTCCATCGTTGGCGAAACTTGCACGCGAATTCTGGACAGGAAGCCCAGGCTTCGCCTCGGCGTCTACCATCCCCCAGGGGGGAATGGGAGCACGGTACTTGCTTTCTATCTGGCTAGGACCTGGCCCGCGCACCCCGCAGCCAGATACCAGAAACCGAATGCATTACGCCCGGAGAGCAGTAACACTGCTACCGGTTCAGCAAACTCGGCTCATTTCTTAAGCGGATACTTGATTATGCAACGCCCGTGTACCGACCCTCTATCTCTCATTCTCTCGCTCCGGAAATCCTTCGACTAGGTGCGCACCCGACGCCGGACCGAGCACTATTTTTCGCGGAACACCTCGGTTAATCTCGCAATTCCATCGAATTCGAGCGAATGGATCAAACAGAAGAATTTCCTACGCTAAACTCCGTTTCCAATACGTTTTCGCACTGCTCGAAGACGCGTCGTGGATGCACATCTTTGCAATTTTGTGGCTGACCCGATCAATTTCGTAAAAAATGCGTGAAACTTCGGTCCATCGATTAACAAACGTTTTGGACTTCTGTCGATCGAAACAAATAAAGTGATGCGAAAAGGTTAAGAAAAGAACAGACTGCAGTTCTGTGCATTTTTGACAGAAATGATCAGATCGGATACAAAGCGAAGACATCGGAAGAATTTGTATGTTTACATTACGCACAACTTATTTTAATTGCTAGAAGAGGAGAGAAGTTTTCATCTGATTTACGTGTTTTATAATTAACTTGGACAATTTTTATTTCGCACAAAAGTGCATAGTTAATTATCGCAATGGAAAGGAGGATAAACAGGGAGACAATTGCCAAGTCGTTTTATACAGTTCAAGTGATATTGTTCACAGCAATGAATCGTTATTAACCTGCAGATCTTATGCACTTTTGATAAAACCGTCATTAGACGAATCTCAGAATATTTGTATAATATATCATGTGTAACTTATTAAAATTAAAAGCAGCAAGGTATTTTTTATTCAATGTGTAACTTATTCAAATTAAAAGCTGCAAGGTATTTCCCCGCGTCCTACACGTCTTACGATGAACTCGGATAATAATTTTTTTCCATAAAAAAACCGCGATCCAGCGATTACGTTTCGTTCTTCCCGCGATGCAAATGGTTTAAAGGCAATTTTAACCCATCTCGAGCGAAGGTATAATAATTCGTCGCGGGACATTTCAAGGTACACAACTTTCGAATTACCTGAAGGAATATTTCTTCCGAGAGGAATTCTGTCCACGGTTAGCAATCGGTACCGTTTATCCGGCGGATAAGGCAGTCTTCTCCCTGTCCTCTCTGTCACTTAATTCCAATCGCTCCACTGTTTTAAGTCGTCGCTGGTAATGGATTTGGGCAGAGGTAGATACAAAAGCATTTGCCTTTTAAACGCTTCCCACTTCGCGGATTATGCTCCGTTAATCTCTGCGGACGGAGTCGATCTCTCTTCTTTTGAATTCCCCCCCCCCCCCCCCCCCCCCCCCCCCCCCCCCCGTCCC